GACCACGCCCGGGCCCGCGCCGTCCCGCAGATACACGGCCTCACGGTGCCCGGGCCCCGCCACGTGGCGCTCTCGCGCACCCCCACCCCCAGTGACTCGTACTGCGTGGACCCGCGGGCGCTGTATTGCGACGGGCCCCTCCCAAGGCCCCGAGACTACACAGAGCGCCCCAGTCTACCCTTCACCACCCCGCCGGGCCCCACCCAATTCTTCTACACCGAGGAGCCCGAGGGCCACCCCGGCGGCTTTATGGCCAGCCCCGGCCCTCCCTTTGACAGCTACTTCCACAGGCCCTTTTCATCAGAGGAGGCCCCAGGGCCCAGTCCAAGGCGCGGGGGCGGCTACTATGCAGAAGTGCGTGCCTTCCCAGTCCAGGAACCACCCTCCCGTTCCTACTACGGAGAGGCTCCCAGAGCCTACGGCCCGGCCTGGGGCCCCCGCTATCCTCCCGGGGAGCCCCAGGTTCATCCCGCCGCCCGAACTTTTTACACAGAGGACTTCGGACGGTACCGCGACCGTGAAGCCATGGCGCGGACTTACCCACACCCACGAGGCAGCCAGGCCTGGGGTGACTGGGGCCCGCGGCCTTACCGCACCCTGCAGGTGGCACCTCCCCCAGATCCCGGCCCGTTGCTCGCCTCCTGGCACGGAGGCAGTGGCACCAGCCCACCTCGTCTGGCCACCGACAGCCGCCACTACTCTCGCTCCTGGGACAACATCCTGGTGTCCAGTTCGCGCCGGGAGGACGCACTGGGCCGAGGCCGCAGCTACGAAAACCTGCTGGGGCGTGAGGCACGGGAGCCGCGGGGCGCTTCCCCCGAAGGCCGGCGCCCGCCGGTCGTCGTGAACCTGTCCACCTCCCCCAGACGCTATGCGGCGCTGTCACTGTCCGAGACGTCGCTGTCGGAGAAGGGCCGCGTTGGCGAGGGCCCAGGCCGCAATTGGTATGTCACGCCAGAGATCACCATTACGGACAACGACCTGCGAGCCGCCGAACGCCCAACAGCCCGGGGCTGGGAGCTGCCCGGGGGCCGCCCACGGCCGGCTGTGCCCGCCGGCCCTACCTCTGGCCGTCAGCGTAGC